GTTGAGCTGAGAAAGTTTTTGTAGGCTGCCCTCTGGTTAAAGTGACGGACACTGCCTTTACAGATCTGCCCCGTAAAGGTTAAAGGGCTCTCGGAGGAGCTGTCCAAACCCTAGGTGCTGAAGGGGCTTGGTGCGGATGAACTGGTGTCGGGGCGTGGGGGGGGGGGGGAGAGATATTTATAGCATCACCACCTAGATCCAAAAGGGCTCGGATGGAAACAGCAAATACAGGGGCTTTCTCTTTAAAAAAAAAAACATTTCGCTAAACCAAAGCTTCCAGACAGGAACGCAAAATCTATTTGTGTTGTGTCTACATTGAAATAAAGCGGAGTTAAGAAGCGCGTGCACTCCAGGCACACACACACACAAACCGTGCACCTCGCCGACTGAAAATGAAATAACTGCAGGTTAGGGGGAGTTTTTAAAATGATTTGGGGACGCAGGCAAGAGAGAGAGAGAGTTTATACTTAGAAATATGTGGTCTCCCTGGTTTTAGAAGAAGGTGCACTCTTATTTATTCAGAGGGAGAAGCAGTTTAGATTTCAGCTTGCAACAATTTGTATCAGGGTCATGTTTAATCCCGACTCCAAAAGCAAAGAAATGCCGGAAAAACCTGCAAGTCATCTCTCAGAAATCCACATTTAGCAGGGGCACCTCTTAGCCACCGGAATTCCCCCCTCTCTCGACAGACTGATAAAATGGCCCCAAAGCGAGGTTTTGTTGTGAATGCCAACACGAGGTTACTAACTTTATTCCTGGTCAGAACTGTGCAAAAAGAGACCTATTAGACTTCCAGATCACATTTATTGTAATCATTTGACATGGCATTTCTTAGTGTATAACAAGAATGAAACACACACACACACCCATAGTCCAACACACATCGCTATTTAAAAGTCTATCACTATATTCTTTATTTTTTTTAAAAAAAAGGGTAAATCAAACTTTAAATGACTGAGACACTTCAAATATACTGACATACTGAGACTGGAAATTTATGGTGACTCCCAAATGACTTCAAAGATACCAATCAATTGTCTGTAGCGTGGAGATAAATGTTGCCATATCTATATTCCAGTTGAACCTAATTATGAAATAATCTCATACTCCCGAGTTTCCCAACACCTCCTGTGAAACTGTATATGGCGCCTTCACAAATACTTAAAGGCACTAGCCTCATCAGTTTGGTTTTTAGCTCTCCTGAACAGAGTTTAAAACACCATTTAGTTGATTAATTGCTTTTTATTGATCAATTTGCTGTCTGGCAGGAACATTGGCCCTTCCACTGAATATATTGAAATACTTTCCCTAGCCCATTAAAAGACACAAAATACTTTGTTTTACAATTTGGTTGGCTCCCCCCCACACACACCAATGTCTAAGCAGAAAATACAGGGCTATCTCAGTTATCATTCACTTCGAGGAAATGAAGTTGTGTTTAATGCAATTTAGCCCCCTTAAAAATGAAAATTGCATTACAGAAATTTAATATTTCTCCTCTTTAGGGCTTTTCAGAAATAATAACTTTAACATTGTTAATGAAATGCCAGCCAACTT